CCCCAAAGTACCAACTAGATTCACTTTCTTATCAGAAAAGGTACTATTGAAGAAAATCTAAGCACTTTTACTGTCCCAAAACGTGATGACAGACACAAAAAAAAATAAAAAATATAAAAATATAAAAAAAAAAACACACATCATTGTAAAACCAATACATTCATCGCTCCTCTCAGAATCTAAAAATATTATTTTTTATTATTATATTCAATTATTATATAAGTACAATATTTTTTATTAATTATTTATTTTAACATTATAAGAGTACCTAATATTATTATATTTTTATTTTTATACTAGTACTTAATATCATTATATTTTTATTATTATTTAAGTGTATTCAATTATATCTGTACAATAATTTATGATTTTTTTTTTTTTGTATGTGGTTATTATAAACTCTACAGTTTGGCTCAAGTGTGTTTTAAATGTATTAATTAAGTTTATTCAATTATATTTTTATAATTGTACTATTGACACTACGGTTTTGCCATTACGATAAAAGTCAGTATACGGTTATTATATATTTTGTTACCTAAAAATCAGGCATGTAGCCAGACATTTTTCCATAAGGAGGCCATCATTTTTAGCACATCTCTGCTTTATAGTTTTATCCCCTCTTCTTATATTTATAACACAAATATCCATAAAGAAAAAAAACACAATTTAACAACGTCTTGGTTAATAAGTTTAAGAGGTCTTTCTGCCCACATGTCTTTACTTCTTAAGAATTCTTACAAATGTAAAAAATGGCGAAAACCGTTTTACATGGTTAAGTACCTAGAAGGCTATAGACATAACTAAGAAACGAAATAATTGTCATGACATTGAAAAGAAAACTTTGGCTGTGAAATATTGTTTTAATGTGGATTTTCAAACAATATAAACTTTGTTTGTATAAGTGATTTAAAAAAAATAAAATTTAACCTCCCCCCCCCCGTGGATAAGCAGCCCCTCAGTCCCTGGTTCATTTCATACTGTCGGCGGGAATTTTATTTAAGTAACTACCTACAAATAAAATTCTTGAGTTTTAAAAAACTACGACAATAGTTTAAACGCGTAGTTCTTCGTCGTTATTATTATACGAAAATGCATGCTGTATAATTATAAAAAGTTGCAGTCGCATTGGTAAATGTTACAAAATCAAATTTTAAAGGGCTATTAAATATGTTATGCGCTTTGTGTTGCGTGACAATAATATTATTATACATTAACCTATACCAAATACATTCAAAACACAATAATTGGGACTAGGTGGGTGGATTTCACCATTGAAAGTTATTGGATTCGACGCCACTGCAACTTAATATAAGTATATCATTATATTATCATACTATTATAATATGCATCGATTTTGTCCTTGAATTTTTGTTTCTGCCTACAAATAAAATTATTTTATTTTCAAAACTATGGTTAAAGTTTAAGTTTATCTTCGGTAATATTAAATACAAATGCATGCTATATAATTATAAAACGTTCCAATTGCACGGGTATATGTTACACAATCAAAGGTATTAAAGGGATATTAAATATATTATTCGCGTTTTATTGTGTGACAATATTATTATTATACTTTAACCTATAACCGTGGTCACGCATAATATTATGTATGATTATTAAATTAGTCAATTGAGAAGCCATTTAAATTATATTATTTTGTTACCTAAAAATCAGGCACGTAGCCAGACATTTTTCCATAAGAAGGCCATCATTTTTAGCACCTCTCTGCTTCATAGTTGTATACCCTCTCCCTATACTTATAACACAAATATCCATAAAGAAAAAACCACGATTTAACAACGTATTGGTTAATAAGTTTAAGAGGTCTCTCCAGCCACATGTCTTTACTTCTTCTTACAAATGTAAAAAATGGCGAAAACTGTTTTACGTGGTTAAGTACATAGAAGCCTGTAGTCATAACTAAGAAACGAAATAATTGTCATCACATTGAAAAGGAAAACTTTAGCTGTGAAATATTGTTTTAATGTGGATTTTCAAACAATATAAACTTTTTTTGTATAAAAAAAATAAATTTTTTACCCCCCCCCCCCATGGATATGTAGCCCCTTAGTCACTGGTTCATTTCATACTGTCGGCGGGAACTTTATTTAAGTAACTACCTACAAATAAAATTCTTGAGTTTTAAAAAACCACGACAATAGTTTAAACGCGTAGTTCTTCGTCGTTATTATTATACGAAAATGCGTGCTGTATAATTATAAAAAGTTGCAGTTGCATGGGTAAATGTTACAAAATCAAAAGTTAAAGGGATATTAAATATTAATATTAATATTGCGTGACAATAATATTGTTAGACATTAACCTATAACCGTAGTCATGCATAATACGTATATGATTAGTAAATTAGTCCATCGATGAATTCACATTATTTTGTTAGCCTAGTCAAAGGTCGGCGTACGGTCAAAGGATACCAGCAGTATCGACAGCTAAACGAATATTAGTTAAAGTATAAAATAATACATGAAAATTGTACTTTAACTAGTTATTTCATAGAATATCTAGTTATTCTGTACAATTTCAGTTTGATATCCGTTAAAGTATAAAATACATTAAAATTAAAAATATATATTAAAATATTTTATTTTACTGAATTATGAATTAATTATAGTTATATTATTTATTTATTTGTACATGTAACATGTAAGACTATTATGGCATTTAGAGTTGCACAACACCTCTTTTTTTCTACAAACACGTCGCTTTGTGTCACATTTTTTGGTACAAGTGCATTTAAAAAAACCCTGATCAGTTCCCAGTGACTGCGCAGTTGCCGCAGATCTTAATGTAATACTTTCATTTGGAACGCTTCTACAGCTAACAAATTTTCCGAACATACTGTGAACTGGGATCGAGAGTATAGTTGTTTTAATACTCCTGTAATTATATAATGATTAAGGTAGGTATCAAATAAATAAAAAATAAAAATAAAAAATTACTTGTATTATTTAAATTTTTCTTACCATCATTGCATCCCAGTTGATAAAACCCATCGTCAGTTAATTTTAAAACAACTGCAATAATTGAACGAGGATCACCCTTTCCTCTATCAACATCGGGAATTTTGATACGCACTGTAGAACCAATATTAGAAACCGAAAATTTAGTATTTGATAAATCTTTCATTCTTTTTGCCTGTTTTTCCAAATTTTCTTTAGCTTTTTTCCTCTCCTTAAAACATTTAATTATTTTTATAATTACAATATTAAAGCTAATTTAGCTTAGATATACGATATAATTGACCTACCGTAATAACACGATAAACGTACATTGCGATCACCGATAATCTTATCTGATTTAATGTGTTATATTAAATTGTTGAAATGTTAGAACTATATTTATTTGTCATGATATTTTGTTATTTACAATTTGACACATTCACGAAGTGATGCCAGGGAATGTATAAAATAACTAGTTAAAGTATAAATTATATACATTACCTACAAGCTTTAGTTATTTTATAAATTACCTAGTTATTTCATAAACTAACTGATTCAACACTTTAACTGTAACATATCCATTCGTCATGCGGTATACCTACGTAATTTAAGTAACGGTTTGTAAAAATACATTTTTATTTTTGTATTATGACTTACGTCCGAAGACTTTCAATGATTCATGTAAGCTTAGTGTTTAGTCATTATAATTATTTATAATGTTTTAGTAAGAATAACTTTAGTAATGAATATTTGGTTCATATCAGAGATAGAACAATTTGATTTAAAGGTTTGCTTATAATTCGATCAAGAGTGACTCCGAGTACTTATATTATATAATATATCTGGGTAACCGACGACAGTCGACAGACGACCGAAAGATATATTATTGTAATATTTTCATTTGACCTAAATCGCGGAGTCTCAACGCACAGTATTGGTAAATGATTTTATTCATAATACAAGAGCATCCAAAATTAGTTAAATTTATTAAATTGTCGGTATTCAAAAAAATATAATACCGGTAGTTTAAAATTGACTGAATGTTGTTCTTAAACATGACCTCAGAATGTATTTATAAGTAATTTTGTTGATCTTCCTACTCAAAAATAGTGTTAAAACATAAATTAGTGAAATTCCCATTCAGTGTTATTTAAAAAAAAATATATATATTTTACTGAATTAATGTCATTAATGAATAATTATTATAATGCACCTATCATAATATTGAAGTGTAATCTATTTTTCAAAACTACATTCATTTTTTTAAAATTAAATTAAATAGTTATTTAACCGTTCTCACGAAAAAAAATAATGCAGATATTACCCATCATTTATTTATTATAAATATTGAAAACCTAAGTTAAATACTCAGCTCTATATTAAAGTGCATTCGTTCTAAAATGACCTCAGAATAATTTTTAAAAGTTCTACATTCTTCATTTTTTTTCTAAGTAGTAGTTTCTTTCAGCAAATTTTCTATTCAGATCTGAACACTTGAGTGTTATTTAAAAAAAGTATTTTATTGTAATTTAAGAATTATTATTGTAATGCACCTATCCTAATTAAAGTGTTAATTGTTTTTCAATTGTACATTAATTTTTTTGAACTGAGTTCAACCCCCAAGACATTGAAATGCTTAGAAAAATTATTATAAAGAATATAATGTATTAAAACGCTTCAATTATTTATTTCAAATTTATCACTCCTCTCTATAAACGTACATTCGTCTTAAAATGAACTAGTCAGCAACTAGCAATGATGGATGAACTTAACATTATTATTTTCATTTTTCAAACTATTATATTAATAATATAATATAAAATAAAGTTAATCAAAAAAATTCTAATTCTGTGGAAATTTCAATCGATAAAATTGTATTCAATACAAACTCGTACCCGTGTAGCTATAAATCATTATGTAATTGATAATTTTATTTTTCATTACGATTAAAATCTAAAAAAATGCGTTATTCTCACAAGTTTAAAGAAATACACAATATCATATTGTACTATGCGATGTAGTGCACCCGCAAAGTCGTATTTGTTATGTCTTCTTGGATACCGAGCTGTCGACTTTAAGACCTTTTATCAATCTGAAAAACAAAATATCCCATTAGACAAATTATTCATCTTAATATACTGTATAGGTATCTATTTAGTGGTGGTGGGTCGGATAAAAATGTATGATATCAAACCCTATAACTTAAACCGAACTTTTCAATTATTGTACGACCACAATTTTGTTTAACATAGAACCAAACCCATAACCGAGCTTTTTAATGAAATTTGTCGAAACAAACTTTTAATTTTATGCCAAACCAAAATAAACGATTTAATACGTACTACGTATTCAAGTTTTCATTAAATTTGAGTTTGTTGGTTTTAACTTTTTAGTTTTGATATTAGAGTTATTCCCATTTTTCAAAATAGACAGTAGACGAAATTTAAAAAAACAAATAATGAACAACGGAAATATTTTTCGTTTGAATTACGTTTCACTTGTTCAATTTTGGGGTTCAAACTATTCTGGAGTGCAGATATAATCATCGAATATCGAATATTTTTGTTCGATTTTGGTGAAGTTTGGTTTTTTTAAAACCATTTTCGACTTTTGAACTAGAAGCGAACCCCTCAATTTCTTTTGGATTTTGTCGAACTTGGTCAGTTCGACCCACCCTCTACTACTATTTAGGTATTTAGATAAATTGATAATATTCTAATAACACATACTCTTCGACTCCGTTTTTAGTGTCCGGTTCCGTTGTTTTGCTCAGGATCTTTTGTAAGGCGCCAATCATGTAATCTACATTTAACACGTGAAACGGTTAAAATCGAGAATATGATTTATATGACAAAAAAATTCAAAAAAAAAATCGCATACTTTTAGTTTGTTTTTTATCCTTGGCGCACGGGTCTTGTGGTTTTTGTCTTCTCTTGCCCAACGAGTTTAACTCTTTTAAGTATTTCACTTCGCCGGACACTGGATCTAACGTCAACTTGATCACGCCTAGCTTTCCCATGATATCTTCTTCGTTATACGATGTAAATGTATCCTTCACTGGTGTGTCAATACCAGAACCTACGAACAAATAAAAACCAATCCAATCAATAATCAGTAAGGACACCATATTTAGACCACTTTAAAATGTTTATTCGTCTACCGGTGTGGCGTAGGAATGCTATCGTAGATTTAAAAATATTAAAGTACATGCTATTTCAACGGACTATAATGAAATATAATCGTATATCATGTATTGGGAAACGTGTGGTAGACTTGGGACGCTAACCTTTAAAGAATTAGTTATAAGTCACTTATGAATAAAAATTTATTTCTTAAAAGCATTTATTTTTTAAATCAAACTAACGTTTAGATTCGTACCTAGTACAAGAAATAGTAGCTTTTTAAAAATCATAATAAAACTCCCTAAATCATTTTACGATTTATTAAAATGTATTAATTCGACCACATACCAATCGTCTTTATGAAAAACGTAATAACAAAAACAAAACTTTTAAACTTTCAAACTTAAAAAAAAAACCATATATTTTTTCATATAGAAATTAATAACAATTACTTACATAAAATTGTAGGTTACATACATATACAATTATTAATTCACACAATAATATTTACATTAAAATATTGGGCAGGACTTGGGCCACAATAATGTTTTTATAAACCTTTTATTTCAAAATTAAGGAATGTAAATACATTTCAAAAATAAAATCACAAATTACAATAGGTACCCACCATCTTTTAATATCGATAACAGACATTTGACTATAATATATCGATTACGATATTATTCTAAGGACTTTGACTTTTATCAGCGCATGACCGACGAAAAATATAAATCCAGTTATACTATCCTGGGTAGTAAATAATAAAATACAGTGATGTGTTCACAATGCCCCGATATTTGATTCTGCCCAAAACGTTTAGCTAATATTATGATGTAATTGCGTTTTGTGAGAAAAACCTTTTAAGAACCTGTTTAGATGCGATAAAATATCGTTTTTTGGAAACTCGAATAGCAATTTCGATGCCGCGCAAATTTACTCACACAAATGTATGTAAGTACTCACTTTTCGAGGTTTTCTCGTCTTTTTCAATTTCCTCGAGGTCTTTTTTCCGTTTGTTCTCCTGCATTTTTTCGCCGACCTTGGCGTAAAGCGATATCAGCTGTTCTTCCAGCTCACCGACGATTTTCTCTATGCTTTCCGGGTAACCGTAGTCCACTTTCATGCACCTCAAGAACTCCAACGCCCATTGCAATTGATTGATGCCTGTGAACAAGGTAAAAAACATTATGCTATAGCTATAACAATACGTTTACAGATCGAGTCGTATCCGCTGCATTATTGTTATTATTATTATGATAGGCGTGTCCCATCCAAGTAGGTATATTTAGTTATTAATTTAGGCCTCGGAAGTTGTTGGGTTTTCATGTTGTTCTTGTGCCGTTGTAAGTAAGCTTGAAACACGTTTCACGACAAGAAGATAACAATATTTCGAGTTATAAGTGTATAATTTCGCGTATTTACCTAGTGGTTTTTTGTTTTAGGAGCATCGATTTGTAGATAAATGATGACAATTTGGCAATAAAAAAAAAAAAAAAAACTTTATAGAGCATATTTCATTTGAGATTTTTCACTGAGTATTATTATTATCGTGTTTTTAAATCACTAGTTGAAATACGATTTCCCATTTTATTACAAAATAAATATTAGTAAAATGTATAAGATTTATATATTATATTTTTTAGTACCTATAATATTTGTATCAGTAAAAATATTTGTCATTAGAAAAAAATAAGTGAATACTTTTTAAGCACATTTGTACTTTTTTAAGTGTATTCATAATATTTAGTAATTTTTATAAAGTTTATATTGTATAAATTATATCAATTTGATTTACTATAGTCATAAAGCGGTATTCCTTTAAATTTTACTCCATGCATGGCTTTAGAAATCTAATTTATTTATCAGAACTCTAATCTCCCTATAGCCATCGGCTTGGAGGTGACCAACTCTCTTTAGCTGTAATTATAATTTTGTTTGTATGTTATATAATTGTTGTAGTTGGAATTGTATTCAACGATGGATAAATAAATACATATTTGTACCTATTTTTATTTTACAAATTTTATTTACGGTAATACATTATGTTGATACTGTACAGCTTAAGAAGCGACAAAAAATGACCACAACGCGTTCAACGTTCAACCGAAAACACCCAACACCCGCACTGTACGGTAACTGGTATACGGTAAACAGCGGTGGTCGTCTGTGACTGTAATGACAAGATCCATTCAGAGGGCCCACCGAAATAAGCAGATAGAAAAAGTTTGGAATTAGAACCACGTATTACGAAATGATGAAATGCTCGTCGGTCCAAATATTTAACTTGTAATATATATATTTTGTTTTAAGATTGGATAACCATCAAAGCTCGCCCCGGATGAAAAATAACGAATCTCAGAATTTCGCGTTTGGTACTTTCGGCTCCCCCCCCCCCCGCCCCCAAATGTGAGGTCTGTTCGCGGCTCCGTGTCCGTACCTCTCTCTCGGAGTGGCACAGGTCACGGGGAGGGGGGGAGGCTACGAATCACTACGATGTAAGTCTGTGCGAGTTACCGATTTTGATTTTCGATTTCTTGCCGTACACCGACCACAGCACCGTGATCAGGTTGTCGAACAGCGTGGCCAGCGGCTGTTGGAGCGAAAAGGTCTTGTTGTGGCCGGGCGGCGGCGCCACTCGAAAGTTGTACAGCATTGGGCTGAAAGAGAAGTTTTCGCTCGGACCGTCGCGCTCGTTCTTGGCGGCTGGCGCGGACCTGCAAAAGTCGATCAGAACGGATTACATTCGATTGGCGTGTGACGCGGATTGGTGTTTCATATTATACTCAGTCTTGGCCGTCATCTTGCTTGAAAAATTAAAACGATATTGGGCACCACGTCGAGAGCGATAAATTTAAAATTTTATATTTTTTTTTTAATGAAACGTCGTCCGTCGACGCGCGTTATTTACCAAAACAACGGTCAACTGTTTGTTTTTTTTCTTGTTTTTCTAGCCAGAATATGTGCAGTGTTCGCGAGGCTAATTCGCGAATCGCTTTAAACATTATTATAATATTATTTTGCGGCCAAAGACGTTATATTTCGACAACGCACAGTGTACTCGGCAGCCGACGTGTGCGCAGGAGCGTGGAAAGGTATACAGAAAATTTTCTGGGTGAACAATTTACAATTTACTGTGGCCCGACGAAAACATTTCACCGCCGACTACGTTTCTTAATTTGAACAGAGTATAACTACTCTGTACGAATTGATTACTATATGCTTCAGATATCTGCAGGTTTAAATCAGACAAGCTCTTATACAAATATATTATGGTTCATCATAATATTTTTAGTTTTAAACATAATAATAATAACGGAACAGACTTATACCTACTTTATTTCATATTTTAAGCGAATTTATTCATCAATCGAAGTTTATTATGGTGTAACGGGCTGTGACTACGTATATATTAATACTAGTAATAATATATAAAATATTATATTGTATTAGGTAAAGTACGATTATAATATATATATTATGTTCAATAATAGACATAGATGCTACAGGGAGCACGTAACCCCGATAATAGTAATAATATCAGCATCCAAGCGGCCATATCAATAAGAACTAATTAATGGTACAGCGCTAACACGTTATAGGTATAGCAATATTCATATTCTAGGAAAGACGAAAAAGCCGTAAACAACAAAAATAGATAACTTTGAAAACATATAATCCCCAATTAACATTATTTCGTAGAGGACGCCCGAAATGACGTCAGGTGTACGCGGCTATGTACCATTTTTATACTAAAAATGCCATAGGAGGGATCTGTTAGGAAAACTGACAAGGTACGTCGATGGACAAGTGTCCATCAGACGAACACCGGCCGAGAAGACGAGCACCAGCAGAGCAGCCACTAAGTCGATACTAAGTCACATCCCGTTTACCACATATTTATAAATTAATTATTGGGACTTAGTCTATTCTATGTGTAAAATAAATACAACTGAACTATCATTACAAAATCAACTTGTTATTTAATTCAAAATACCACCAGAACTGAGTTGAAGTGATTGGCACGTTACAATGGTTTTGAAAATAGATGGGTAGCCGGTAAGTACTATGTTGAGATAGGTTATGTTGTGTTATTGACTTATATATGAGATATAGACACTGTTGTTTGTGATGCTCTGTTGTAATAGGTAGTGTCGTAGTTTGAAATATATATGAGAAAGCACAGTGCTTCAGCGGGAATTTATCAAGGGGAGGAGGGAGCAAAATGATTTAATGTTTCACCATTCCTTTAGTGATTAAGTATTGTTTGTCACATGTTTATTTCATACATTTAGGGAATGTAAAAATTATTTATAAATTATAAATTAGATTGTAAGCATTAAATCTTACAGCATTCATCTTAATGAATTGATGTTACACGTAGCTACTGTTAAATCAACAATTAATGCGATTTTTTTTAAATAAATAAATTGTTAGGTACCGTTGATTTAATAAATAATTTTAAATTGTTTATAAAAGTAAATGCATCTAGCTTCTATAAAATAAATTAAGAACTACCAAACTATTATGAAATACCGTATTACTTGCATTAATTTCCGACGTTCGTAAAAATTGTTGATAACTGTATATATTAGATTCTGAGAGGAACGAAAGGGTGTATTGGTTTTACAATGATGAGTGTGTTTGTTTGTTTTTTTTTCCGTCTATCAGCAACATTTCGGATAGTAAGCATGCTTCGATTTTTGAGATGCTGATCTTAGAGTGAATAGAAAAGTGAACCTATTTCGTACTCTTGGGAGGTCCAAATTGAAAATTCCAAGTAGTTTTAGATAGCGTCGAGAAAAACTACAGACAAATTACTAAAAACCCCTAAAATCGTTTAAAAAGGATTTTAATTTCCAACGATTTGTTTATCACCATAACAGCGAATAAGAAATAATAATATTTTAAGCACTACGCTAACTGCTCAGAATCGTTTTTCGTATACAATTGTTTATCATTGTATTCAAATATATAACACATCCGTTACAACTAGTGTATAACCAGTGGTGGAACTAGGGGGGGTGAAGCCGGGGATTGATAAAATTTTAGTGGGCGTAATTTTTCTATGGGTCTTTATTTAATGCTTGGAGATAGAAGTTAAGAAAACATTTTTACTTCACATAATTTGTTTATGATGTTGTGGTGATGGCCACTTTCTAAGGAATGAAAAACAAAAAATAAAGTTAATGTTAAATTATAAACAGATTCGTATTAGTATACAACGTGTACTGGTATATTGGCATTAGCATGTCTATTGCAGGCATTTACAGTGGACTCCGCTTATAAGACTCACTTAGGAACCAGCCAAAAAGTGAGTCTCATAACCGAATGAATCTTATAGGCGAAGTTGGAAAAAAACTAAATAATTATGAAGTTTTTTTACCACATATTTTGTTTTATTTTAATGTACTTTAATAAACGAAAAAAATATGATTATAAATTAAAATTATATTACTATACAAAATATTACATACGTATCAATAAAAAATTATACATTATGTATTTACGTAATTGTTATTTGTGAAAAAAAATTGTAATACGTGTAACAAGTAATCGGGAGTGTATTTATAACTTATACAGTAATTACGATAAATGTAAAATGCGATAAAATTTGTTGTATATACACACATTATTAAGCATGAATCGAAACCAGTAATAATCTACAAAAATATGTAATTGTTAAAAACCAATTTATTTCAAAATTTCAACCAAAAATTTTCATTTTCTACTATTTTTTTTACAAAATTTGAGTCTTATAAATGAAATGGTGAGTCTTATGACCAAATTTTAGATTCTGAGTGGAACGATGAATGTATTGATTTTACAATGATGTGTGTTTTTTTTTATATTTTATTTTTTTTTTTGTGAATATGTACACGATAAGTAGTCGAATTAATGCTACGATTTTCAACTTCAGTATCTTGTTTGATTGGAAAGTGAATATTGTTGGTGCATTGGGGAGGTCAAAATTTAAAATTGTTGGTGTAAGTTTAAAACAAATTAACGTAGATACATGAAATTTTCACTGGTTGTTTATATTTGCATTTTCTATACATAGTAAAATTTTCAAAATCGTTTGATTTATTTTTAACAGTTTAGGGACATTTTCAGTTTCCCATTTTATTAGTTTTTTTTTTCTATGAATGTCAATAAAACTTTATTTGTTGAGTAAAAATACTTGAAAATTTAATACAAGGATCCTATTATATTAATACACTGACATTTGCAAAATATTAAAAGTCCTTAGTCACAGTTTTTTTGTTATAAGCGTTTAAAGTTCAAATATTGACAAAATACGTGAAAATGACTAACATTTTCAAATGGTTTCGAGTTAGAAATTCGTACAATTTTTTCTTTTTAAATCTAAGATATGAAAAAGTAATACAAGATTCCTCATAAGTTTGTCTACCTTTATAAAAAAAAAATGTCTACAAGAAACTCAAATTAAATTTTTATGAGCTTATGAAATTCATATTTTTACAACAATTGATACTCACTCGATTTCTCATTCAACGATTTTCTTTTTTTATTGTAATTAAAAAACAAATGACGGTAGATACTTGAAAATTTCACTGAATATTAATATTAACATTTTCTATACACGATAAAATTATGAAAATAATTTGACTCTTATTAAGTTGTTAACGGACATTGTCATTTTTCAGTTTTTTTAGTTGTTTTTTTCTATAAATATGAATCAAATTTTATTTTTTTGGGTAAAAAAGAATGAAAATTTAATGAAAGGCTTCTGATATATTGTTACAAATATTAAAAATATTAAAAATTAAATATTAAAAGTACATAAGCACAATTTTTTTTTTATAAGCATTTAAAGTTCGAATTTTGACAAAATTTATCAAATTTAAAATATAATAATTTTTTTGTAGTTAAAAATTTATAAAATGTTCAACTTTTATAGCTAAAGATTGACAATTTAAAAGAATATTCCACGTAAATAGGTTACTATTATAAATTACTTTATTCACAATATTATCATCAAATATACTTTGTAATAACATCGGCTGACTGACCGTTTTAGCTCAGAATCGTTTTGCTTATACAATGATTGTTCAGTGTTCAGACCTCCTATACCAAACAAAACGGTGATAAGAAAAACTGCCTCCCGACCTACCTTAATACATGATCAGCTGTTACCGGTTAGCCGTCAATGCGCGTGAACGACAAGTTCGTGTTCCGATGGGTGTGCGTTACCGCGAAACTGTCTCGTAGTTATTTTACGTGTTTTTTGTACCTACTGCAAGGGCAAAGTGAAGGCATTAGTTTTTAACCACCGGCACCATACCTTAACCTCACCGTCACTTCATCTACCAGGCACCTTACAGTCAATTCACCATCACCCGCACCTCTACGTCAGTTTCACCATCCCCCAGGCATTTTGCCGTCAATCATCACCGGCATCACCGACGTACGCGTTACGGTTTTTATTGAATTATATTCCATTATTATATTATTACTGTAATTTTAAATTATTGTAAAATTACTTCTTTAGAGCCCTACGCCAGCCGGCACATTTGTGTCCTCATATTTGTTATTACTTCCGGAATAGTAGATCTTCACCCGGCATAAAAACAAACGACCTACAACTTTGATGTTAGAGAAGTTACCCTTACCCATCATGCAGTCCACAATTACCGTTTTCCCCCACAGTGATATTATATCATCGAATTCAAATTTAACACCATCCGTGATCCGTTACAGTGACCCACTATTGTAACTTACTGTGCAGCAGAGTGACTTTTGTTGTTTTAGTTCTATGCTCCTCAGCCCTCAATTATAATA